GAATGCAGTGCTTTGGAATGAGAGGGCATGAGAGCAGAACCCACCTTTCTAGCCAACAGAAAAGTCAGTATCAATTTACCTGAAATTTCTTCTTTCTAAGTCGTGGAAAAAGAAGTTTGACATTAGATAAGAGACACCTAATTCACACTCCTCTCAACTCCACCAGCAGTAACAGGGTAATTTTCATATTAGGCTACAGGAACAGTTCCTCCCATGCATTCGACTTCTGAGACTTGGCTCCAGCAGCAAACATCAATGTCATCTCTTGCTATTTGCTTCTTATCACCATTCGTATGTTCAAGCCAAAGCAACCTCCATTCTCTCTCGGTTCCCGTGCATTATGCATTTCTCTTTCAAGCTTGGACATTACCTTTGCCATACAGAACAGGTTAACAAGTCATTAGAAGGCAGACTCAGCTACTTAGTTCAATCCCCAGATACTGTTCAACATGCCACTTATGAACAGATACGTTCACAAGGACAGGGAGTAGAAACCAAAGGATTTGTAATGCCTAAGTGGCATTTGAACATATCTGCTCACACGTTCACTGGTCCCACATTGTTTTTAGGTAATGCACGTTAGCTTAGGTTGGTTGTTCCATGGCACGGGCTTGGTACCTAAGTTATACAGGAAAAAAACTGAAAGCAAGTATGTACTTTGATTTATTTTGCTAGATACTATTTTTTTTTCTATTTTATGTTGCGAGCAGTACTTTTAACAAAGCATAAAGCAAAACCGAAAATAATCTCAGTAATAAGAGTATTTACAACTGATCGTTTGTTGCGTTAGTATATGCAGACAACTAGCATGTCTTTTGGCGATGCTTAAGAAGCGCACACATAGCAAAGCTGCATTGCGCAGATGCTATTCACTCCTGTGCAAAGAGTGGGCTTGAAGTCTAACCATCATTGATCCCACTCAATAAACCCTCAGAGCAAAGCTGACCTAGACCTGCAGTGAAAACACAGGATTCGAATTCGTTCTCTGATTAGTTTCAACAAAACATGAATAAACCCAATGCTGGAAATTAGAATTTAAAATGTGACAAGTTTTCCTGGCATGAATTTTCCATGAGTAGATTCATGGTGATATGATCTGTGACATTTCTGTAAGAGCCAAATACCAAAAATGAGAGAAACTGATCCTATATAGAGCCACAAACACAGAGGCACACTCTCTTCCTTAAGCATCAGAAAAAGTAATTTGGAACAGGAAAGTGCTTGTGCAGACTGTTTGGATGGGGGAATTCAGGTACTACACAGCTTTTCTGAGGTGACACCACCTATTCTGTATATCATCTACACAATATATTTGCAGTACCTAAATCTAAAGAGGATAGACCGTGTGCTCAACGGTAACACAGATGTGGCCATATTCGGTGGATCATGAGATAGATTCATGTCCTATTTCTGACCAGAATCAGTGAGAAAAGAGGAGGGGGCAGAAATGAAAGCCTGTGAGAAAGCAGAATAAATCATCCTTAAAAATGTTTTCCTCCTACTTACCGTGAGTTAGAGGATGACTTTTGGCCAGAAGCATTAAGGTTTATATTCCTTTCAAAACTCTCGGTTACTTTGAAATATTCCCTCTATGGATATTCCCCTATGTAAGTTCCAATTCTTTGCTTGATCTTTCTTCACTGTCACAGCCCCCCTAATGGCATCTAATTATTAATTAGGTATAGAAGGCTGGCCTCACATGGAGTTAAAAGTGGTTGTAAGAATTTTTTTTTAAACTCACACAAAGGCAGATGAGAAGAACATATAGGAACTAGAAACACTGATCTTCCTTAAACACTGAACCATGCTGTAAAACATACTAAGGGCTCCTTTTCATTGAACTCACACCAAAAGAAGGGACAATATTAAAAGTCGAGTCTTATTTAAAAAGAATTACATGCTATTTATTTTGCACCAACATATGGTGAAAGTAAATTCCACCGATTTTCCTGTTTTGTTATCAGCTTGATTGGATGAGATTTACACACGGCCTCCAGATGTGGTGCAGCATTGAAAAGGAGGTTAAAAATTCAAGTAGAAATAAAACCGCCTGCTACCCAGAGGGATGATGGTTTATTAACTCAAGTCTCCATTTTCATCCCCCTGGATATGTTAAAACCATGAAGAAATCTCTTGCAAGCCTAGGACCACCAGAGGATACAGGAGAACGGTTAAAGACCTTGTGGTTTACACACCATTGAAAGCAATGAGCAGAGCAGAGCGGTATTACAATTCCATGAACCCATTTCCTGAAAAAGTGAATTTGTCCACACACATTGAAATAATAACGTGCTTCAGCTAAGCCTTTTGAATGAATGCGTACTGAATTGGCACTGTAATTGTATCAGATGCTCATAAGCACCATCTGCATAATTAAGATGGTCCCATAATTGAATTATATGCCTAAGCACAGTTTCAAGTGATTTAACATTTAAATAACATTTTGAACTCCAAACCCAAAATGATTTAAAAAATTGTTTTTTAAGAGCAAATGGGGATGCTTATATAGCTTTTACCCTTAGCAATGTCTGTATTTTCAGCTCGGTGAAGTCAAGTAATCAACTATCAGAAAATAACTACGTAACTTGGAGAATGAAACAGCAGCCTAGCAACCTTAGCACATGCTGGAGACTGCAGGTTGATTTCTGTTGCTACAGGATGGACCAGAAATCATCCTACATTAATGAGCCAAAAGGAGAGCGTCAGGGAGAAAAGCTGCACAGAGGCACCGGAAAACTTCTCTTTCTTTTTCGCTAGCTTTGCATTTTGACAGCGACAACAACATGATGAAAATGAAAATGTTCGGCATCCCGTGAACTGGCTGGCGCATCCCACATGCCAGACTCCACGGGGGAAAATGAGAACTCACCAGAAAAAGGCAGATGTAAAATGCACAGGAGACGTGTAAGGAAGAGGGGAACTGGGTAACAGTTTTGCACGGGTAACAGAGAATACAAATTGAATGTACGTGATTTCTATAGAATATCGATAGTCAAAGGCTTCACCTACATTCAAAGACAGCAAAGAAAGGACTCTCGGCAGAAAGCATTCCTTAAGATATACAATACCTGTTACAAAAAGTCAAAAAACTTTTTAGCATGTTTTTTTTCAGCATTTTCTCTTGAAATTTACAAGGAATCAAGCGTCATCTTTGATTGAAGATAACTTATCACGGGAGAACAGCTGAAGTGCCAATACGGAAGTATCTAGTCAAGTACTCTGTCCTCCCAGCAGTC